ATGAGACTATGCCGCACCCTCCTGGAAAGCTGTGATTAAAGTTAAGCCCAGCTTTCCAGGAGCTCCTCCTGATGAGCTGGGTTTAATCCAGCTTGCCAGGAGCTCCTCCCAACAAGCTGGGTTTGATCCCAGCTCACCAGGAGCTCCTCCCAACCAGCTGGGTTTAATCTCAGCTTGCCAGGAGCTTTTTCCAACAAGCTGGGTTTAATCCCAGCTTGCCAGGAGCTCCTCCCGATGGGCTGGGTTTAATCCTACCTCACCAGGAGCTTCTTCCAACAAGCTGGGTTTAATCCCAGCTTGCCAGGAGATTCTTCCAATGAGCTGTGTTTCATCCCAGCTTGCCAGGAGGTCCTCCCAACAAGCTGGGTTCAAACCCAGCTTGTGGGAAGCTGCTGAGTAGTGAGGTGTGTTGTGCCAGTGGTCTGTCTGTGATTTTTTCTGCTCTGTGCAGAAACATCTTGTATTGCAAGAGGGGGTTAGCAGAGGCTCTAACAGGGGCTGCTGCAGCACAGTCTCATGTTGGATTACCCAATTAGAGCCTCTGCTAACCCCCTCTTTCCCCATGTTACATACGCACTGCACACCAAGCAACACTACACAAGACTCACCTCATCACTCCAAACTCAAACTATGTATACACCACTTCCCTCCGCACTCTTGACAAAACACCACATCACTCCAAAATCAAACAAAACACTTCAGTACTCCAAACTCAGACTGCACACCTCAATACTCCAAACTCAGATTACACATCTGCACACTCCAAAACTACACACCACAGATCACCACTGCCAAAAAATTAAAAATGTTACAATTCAACACTACAAACTCAGACTGCACATCTCACCACTCCAAGCTCAGACTGTAAAGCTCTACACTCCAAATTTTCACAGAACACCTCACCACAGCAAAATCAAACAATAAATCTTGTCACTCCAAACTCAGATTGTCCATCTCACCACTAAAAACTCAAACTAAACACCTCACCACACCATATCCAGACACCCCACCTCACCAATCCAAATTGATACAACACAATTCACCCCTCCAAATACAAACAAAACACATCAATACCCTAAACTGAGAATTCAAAACTGAAAACTACAAACCCAACTGAGAATCATCATCATACACTTCCTGTCCCACCTATCCAAACTCAAACCAATAATCTCAACATCCCAAACTTTTTTCCCCTTCAAATTAATATGCACTGCCAGGATAATTGGCTTGGTTGACTTTATCCCATTTAACCTGGGATAAACTCAACCAATGGAATACAAAAACAAGGACCTTTGGTTTATATTCAATTGTTTGACATCAACCGTTCAATTTTAATTGGCTGAACACTGTTTAAAATGAGTGATTGATCCAAACCAAATAAAACAATTTTTTCCTTGAAACATCTTCAAAAGAGCCGCGGTTGGATACTTGGGGGAAAAATATGACAGCCCAGTTTCCTTTTTTCACTCCAACAGCACTGCAAAACAGCCCTTGACTCATCCCTGGGGGCAATCAAAGCCATAACACACTTCTGGCTTTTGCAGATTGCCTCCCGGCTGTGATCAAAGCAATATTGACTCTATCAACCCCTCTCCAAACTCCACAAATATAAATGACACAACTACACATGCAGCAACTGCTACTTGCTGCTCTATGAGGAAGATAAAACAGGAAAACTGGCCCAAAAAACAATGCACATATTGAAACTCTCAAGCCAGTGGAAAAGTCAAGCATCAACAGTGATCATGACCCCTAGCCCAAAAGAGAAGGAATACTTGGAAATGGAGTGGTCCAATTCTGATTGTTGTCTCATCTCTCTCTTGTTTCTTTTCTCCAAAATTTCTTATTTATTTTTTCAAACAATAATTTAATTGCATATCATTTAGATTCAAAAACCAGTACTTGAGACAAAGCCTAAATTGAAATATAGGACTAAATAAGTAAGGAAACAAAAATAGATTAAGGAGAAAAACAGTAGTAAGCAAGAAGAGAAAAACCCAGCAAGAAGACAAAAGGCAAGTAAGAATAGAAGAAGCAAGCAAGAGAACAAGCAAGCAAGAAGGAAAAAATCAATCAAGAAGAGAAAATTTGAGTGAGAGGGAGAGAAGATAAGAATCAAGCAAGAAGATAAAAACAAGCAATTGAAACACTAGAGTGAAAAAGTGAGGCAAAAGATTGTCTGCCCTCCATTCACCCAACACTATTTTGCATGGTTTTGATTGTTGGCTTGATACACAAAGTTTCATGCTGGAGGGATCTGTTTTAGCTGCCTCACCAATGCTGCACAGTGCCAGTCCATAACTGTGGCTGACCCACTACTTGTGTCAAATGTGGTCACAGGCCGGGAAACACAAGCTGGTTGCCCCCAAACTGTTAGAGATGCTCTTCCCACAAACAAAATGGATTATTTACAACATAAGTTTGAATTTGATTCATAATGCTGATTAAGGTGTCCACTTGGTGCAATATCCATATAATTGACATTCCTTAATGATCAATTTGGAAAGAGAATTCATAGAATTAAGCATGGTCAAATTTCTGTGGTTTTCTTAATGTATTTCTACAGGGGCTACAAAAACAAAGAAGAAGAGCTACCCTTGATTTGACTGTGAATCAAATCTGGAACATTCATTCCAGTTCTGCCAGTTGTCAATGACGTATGGGAGTTGTTTCCCATTTCTGGTCATTGAGAATCCTTCTTCTGTCATGAGGTCATGACAGCAAGGACATTTTTAGTCCTTTCTTTCTTTAGGTGTGACGTTTGAGGATCCGCCCTGGGGATGACGCTGGTATCTTAGTGCTGCTGCGGGTTCTCTAGCACGCGCTTCTTGCTGTCCTCTCATCTTTCTATACTTGAGATTTAAATGTATTCTTAATCATTCTTAGCTTTAAAAATTCAATTTCATTTGTAATAAATCCTAAGTTCATAAAAACTGTATTTACTAAGAACTTGGTCAGTTTGTCCTGGCTTTAGTGACAAGCTGACAAATACTGATAACAGGTATCAGGCTCATAATAAAGATGATACAAGACAAAACCAAATACATGTCTAGTCTCTGTTTCAGTGTAGGTTTCTTGAATGTCAATTCTAACTTTATATCAACAGTGCAACAGATATGAGAGGAGTATTGGTTATTTGGGGTATTCAGCTTTCATACATTGAATGAGAGTCCTGACCAAATGCATGGTATTTAAAGTTTGGGATTCTGGAAGCCAATGCAAGACAGAATACTTCCTGTCCC